AATGCCTCTTATTTCCAGCTTGGTTGCTTCTGTGTGAAATGCGAATTCGCAATGCAAAGGCAGATCACGATTTCCAGTTTGGTTGCTTCTGTGTGAAACGCGAATTCGCAATGCAAAGGCAGATCACGAATCCCAAGGATTTAGCCTCCTTTCTGCTCTTGACGGACGCAAGAGCCGCCAGATAGGACGCACTGCAAGCGACCATCTATCGGATGCTAACCGAACATCCACCACGTATGGAGGGTCTCTCCGGAAGATCCTCTCTCCAGAGCACTCAGCCTTCCTAGGCATCACTATTGTTGGGGGGGACCCCAAAAAGACCACCACCAGAATCTGGGCCTTTTCAATAGTGGCCACAACATGGTGGTCTGTGGATGTACCCCCGGCACCCTTCCTTCTGTCGTTCAGGACACGGGTGAAAATGGTGCTTTTCTGGGAGGCCTTTGAGAACCTCCCTCCCGCTCAGACCGACCCATCATGTTATAATTTCCTTGCTGCTTCTTGCATCTGGGTGGGTGTTTTGGTCACTGTTCTTCTACTTGGGTTACTGTTATTCTATTAGGAGTTTTATAGGGTGAGTGGATGGGTTTGAAATGTGGTGATTTATTGATTGATTCATTCATTTATTTGTATAGCTTCCCACTAGATTACTAGTAAGTAAGTAAGTAAGTAAGCAAGTAAGTAAGTAAGTAAGTAAGCAAGCAAGCAAGCAAGCAAGCAAGCAAGCAAGCAAGCAAGCAAGTAAGTAAGTAAGTAGGATGCTGAGAAACTGGAGCTATTTGAGAGGATGATTTGAACAAGGATGATCAGGGGACTAGAAAACAACCTGAAAGAATTGGGCATGTTTAGCCTTGAGAAAAGAAGACTGAGGGGGGATGATATGACAGCACTTTTCAAATACTTTAAAGGCAGGATCTGTTCTTGATCACCTCAGAGTGCAGGACATGTAATCATCGGCTCAAGCGACAGGAAGCCAGATTTTGGCTGAAGATCAGGAAAAACTTCCTCTTAGAGTAGTACGACAACAGAACCCATGACCTCAGGGGGGAGGTGGTGGGCGTTCCAAGACTGGAGGCCTTCAAGAGACAATGGGACACCCATCGGTCAGATCTGCTTTGATCGGGGTTCCTGCCTTGAGCAGGGGGTGGGACTGGATGGCCTTCGAAGCCCCTTGCAACTCAATTATCCTAAGATTCTAAGCAATGGGGGCTTTGAGCCCGGGCACTGAAATTAGAGGGGGTCAAAAAGTTGTTGATGGAAGGGTGCAAAGCCGTCCACTGGCGTTTGCTGCTGGAAGAGCCCAGACCCACCCTTCCCAGACGGAGGCTGTAGGAGGCCTCCAGCCACTCCGGCCAGGGCAGAGGGAAGGCGCAAAAGAGGGGGTGGGCTCAGGGTGGCATCCATGCGGCCGTTATGCCCTCGGAGCCAGCGGTCCTCCCCCTTTCTCCACACCCCTTCCCCAAACACCAAAATATTCTAATCTCACACACGGCCCAGGTTGAACCTAGAAGGCAAAGAAAACCCAGGCACCCCAATGGCCCACGCGGCTGGCCACGGCTAACACCACAAGCCTGCGCATGGTGAGTCCAATCCTGGCCACTCCCAAAAAGCTGCCCTGACGCGTAAGTGGAAGGGTCAAATATTCTGCAAATCAAGAGACTCTTCCACATGGCAGGGTGTGTGTGTGTGGGGGGGGAGAAGAATTTATGTTTGGCTGTCATCTGAACAAGACAGCCTGAATTTGGGGCGGGGGGGGAGATTTAAAACTCTCTGATTGTTGCTACGTATTTTTAAGTCACCTCCAATTTAGGAAGGAGCGATTTCCAAAATCTCCTGTCTTCAACTGCCCGGCTGAGCTCTTGCAAACACGAGCCTGGGGCTTCCTTTAGAGGGTCAATCCGTCCCGTATTGGGTCTTCCTCTTCTCTGGCTGCCCTTCTACTTTCCCCCGCATGATGATAGTTTCCAGAGAATCCTTCCTTCGCCTGGGGTGCCCAAAGCCGGACACAGCCACAGACTCCTGGCCAAAAGGGGCACTCACGCTGTGCTGGTCGAAGCACTTGAGGAGTTGCCGCTGGGAAAAAAAAAGGAACTTTCTCCCATTTCCATGATATCTGATCGCTGTTACCAAAGATTTGGGGAGCATGGGATCCGGCCGATAACCTCAGAGCCTTGAAACGTTTCTTTTCTTGGACGAGGTTTCCTTAGAATCCTCCGGCCCGCACGGGGATTTGCAAAATGATTTTTGTGTTCAAAAGGAAATGATCCAAAGCTTTGAAAAAACAAAAACAAACAAACAAACAAACTTTTTGTGTTCAAAAGGAAATGATCCAAGCTTTGCAAAACAAAACAAAACAAAACAAAAAACCCAACAACAACTGGATGCCAGCTTTTCCTCTCACCTTGGCAGCGCAGGCAACACTGGTCCGGAACATCCTCCGTCTTGGCGCAGTCCAGCTTCGGGCAAGAGACTCGGGAGCAGACCATGTTCCCATCCTGAAATTGGAGTGGGGGGGGGGAGAAGTCATTTGAAAACAGGGAAGGGAGATATGCTGGCTGAGTGAGAGTCATCACAACACTGGATGCCAGCTTTTCCTCTCACCTTGGCAGCGCAGGCAACACTGGTCCGGAACATCCTCCGTCTTGGCGCAGTCCAGCTTCGGGCAAGAGACTCGGGAGCAGACCATGTTCCCATCCTGAAATTGGAGTGGGGGGGGGGAGAAGTCATTTGAAAACAGGGAAGGGAGATATGCTGGCTGAGTGAGAGTCATCACAACAGCTCACAGGCCACACAGCGCTAGGGTTTTTTTTTTTAAAAGTCTAGATATAATGGAAAACAGGGGGGACCCTGAAACACCCCACCCGAAGGGCAGGGAGAAACTCTCCCACGCTCCACTAAGTGAGCCAACGGCTTCAGACGAGTCAGGAAACCAAGCCCAGCCGTACGACGTAGGGCAGGAAGGATGAAGTGACTCTTTTGAGTCTACCCCTCTCAGGCATGTTAGTATGCTGGCTAGGGGACTCGGGGAACGGCAACCTCGCTGACTGGGGATCATGGGAGTTGTAGTCCCCAAAGGGCACTTTCCAGGTCCTGGGACACCTTGCACCCCCCTCCTCGCTCAAGAGTGATGGTGCTCGGTTAGCCCTTTTTGTTGGCCCGGCGTCCAGGCAGTCCCCATTTGCTCCCAGGGTGTGCCCCGCTCAGGGGAGGTTCCCTCCCCCCCTGACGTCCCAGGCCACCCACCTGGCAGGTGCAACGTTCGCATGGATGGCTGCCCACGCTTTCCCCTCCGCTGAGGAGGACCTGCCCACGGTAAAGGCAGCGGGAGCAATCCGGGCAGCAGGAGCCGAGGGCGGGCGGCAGTCCGTGGGTGCAGGGCCTGGGGCACAGCTGGGCTGGGGTGCAGGCCAGCTCCCCCTCCTGGCAAAAGGGAGGAAATGCTCCGTCTCTTCTGGGCTCCATTTGGTTTAGCCGAGCAGATCAGAAAGGGGCAAAATCCCTCTGTGGCCACAAGACATTCACCAGGGGTTCTGAGAGCCTTCGGACAAGGGTCCCGGCACAGGACCTCGTTTGCAGGCTGCTAATTCAAGTCTCTCCCCCCCCTCCACCTCTTCAGGGAAAGCATCTCCACTCCAAGCAAAGCTAAGAAATGCCCCCCTGTTTTGGATGCTCACTCCTGGAGTTCCTCAGCCTAAGACGGTTGCTGGGAGTGGCAGCACGGGCGAGGAGGGGTTCAGGGAGGTGCAGTAAACAAGAAAGAGGAACTTCTCCAAGGTCTGTAGCCTATGTGCTAATTACTACACGGCTGGGCTGCAGATGCTAAACAGGTGGTGCATGTGGGGTGAGGGGTCTTTGTGGAATTGCCTCGTTTATCCCTGAGTGAAGGCCCTCCAACTCGTGAGTGCAATGAAGAATTGGATGAATAACACGGTACAAATCCTCACCTTCATGGGGATTCCATTCAAAGTCCTCCCCAATGCTGAAAAACCCAGATTATAGTGAATGCTATTTTAATAACAAATAACGTCATTTAATAACAAATGATGTTACTATTTTAATAACATCAGAAGTCCCCAACCCCCGGTCCGCAGCCTTTGCCAGTCCGTGGCCTGAGCTGGACCAGGCTGTGGAGACAGATCTTCCCCCCCCCTGTACATACTCCCCCCCCCCACAGACCCTTTGCGTATGTGCGCGAGTGCACAGCACAAGCACCCCCTGCCACTTTGTGCATGCGCATGGTGTGCAAGCACCCCCCTTTGTGCATGCATGCAAGTGGGGGTGCCTCCCCGCGCATGGACCCCATCCCCCCCATCAGTCTGTGGCATCAAAAGAGTTGGGGACCAGTGCTATAACACAGTATGATCTCTGGCTCCCTCTAATGGCCAGCTTTGGTAACTTCACTTCTAGAAATATATACTGTACTTTTAGAATTTAAAAATATATATTTTTAGTATTTTCAGACCGTGGATAAGTGACTCAGTGGAGATGAAGGTATTTGTAATGGTTATAGAAGGCAAGGAGGAGACGACAGATCCTGTGGGTAAGGAGTGCTACTGTAAATGGATTTAATGAAGGTATCTGTAATGGTTATAGAAGGCAAGGAGGAGACACACCCTCTCTTCTGCCCTCTTCCTCCCAAGTCTGGGTCTATTGAAGAATTGCATGCGCTCCCCCTCCCCCACATTTCCAGTAACTCACAAAACAGGAACAGCGCTGGCATCCATCGGCCGTGGTGACCTTCTGCCCGGGTTCCAGACGACGTCCTTCCAGCTCACATGCTGAGGAAAGGCAGGATTAGAAAACAAGACCGTTCTGCTGCTCCGGGAAGGAAATTTATGACTTACCAAATAGGCTCCTCCCCTTCTAAAAATGATCTCACCTGCTCCCCCTTCTGGCAGGGGCAGAAAGTACCTCCAGGAAACACCTGGCAGGCAACCACTCCCTGCCTTGTGTCAACTCTTCATATATCCCAACCTTTGTACTCTGTAAAAACCTGCTGTATTTTGCATAGAAAACTCTGTATTCTGTGCAAGCCTGTTTTAATTCCATAGGAAAGGCAAGGTATTCAGCAGAAAACACACTTTTCTTTCCTAATGTTGCTCCCGAGAGCAACAAAACACTTGTCTTTTCAACCTTGTGCAGTTGCATTTTATTTTTCAGCACTGATCATGTTTTGCTGTGGCAAGACACACCTTCTGGCAGAGGACATGGGTCTGAGCCATCAGCCGGAGGGGCACTGATCACCCTCCCCCCACCAGCAAAATGGTCAGAAAACCCTGTTCTAGACTGTTACGTTCCGGGGACACCTTCAAACCGAGATTCCTGAACCATCTCCGGAGCAGAGAAACCAAAAGGAACATGTATTTATTTGTGTATTTCTCTCTCTCTCTGTTTGTCTGATATGCATATTTGTTTGTGTGTATGTGTGAGAGTAGAACTGGATATGGAACAACGGATTGGTTGTGTGTGTGAGAGAGAAAGATTTTCATATTTATTTGTCTATTTGTCTATAAAGTTTGTGTGTGTAATTTGCAGCTGCAGTCCAAAGCCACAAATTGGCACATCTTTGTTGGAAAAGGATTCTTTAACTACAGCCAGTGTGGAGATTCCAGATGTTGGAGCCCTTTAAAAAGTCACGCTTCTTGGCTCTGATTAATTTCCCGCTGGCAGGCAGAAGTAATCATTACACAGAAATCAAAGCCCGATGCTCCTCTCTCTAGCTCTCTCTCTCTTTTTTAAAACCCCCCAAGAGCGAAAGGAGAAGAACCAGCGACCGGCATTTCTTCCTGTTCTAGCTTTGAGAGAAAGCCAAGGATGCCAAACCCTCCGAAGGACCCTTCAGGAGGACCTCGGGCTGCTAGTCCAACCACGGCGGTCCTAAGGCGGCCAGTTCATTTCTTCTCTTCCCGTCGTCTCTGGTCAAAGAGGTCTTGCAAGTTTTTAAAGCCCCACCATGGACAGCACCACCTCTTTGTCCAGAGAGCCTGCCATGTGGGATGCGTTCCCGTCCACCCATGGGAACCAGTTCCTGGGGGCGTAATCCCACCCCCTCTCTAGCAACCTCCAGTTTACGGCCATCCCCTCCACCGGTCAAGAAAGACTCACCAGGGCAGCGAGGGCAACAGCGGCCAGGTTGGGGCACGGCCTTGGAGCACCGGAGTGGCGGGCACTGGATGGGGTGGCACTGGACCAGGCTCCTCTGGAGGGGGAAACGGAAGAGAACTGGGGCTCATTCCCCCCCCCCCCGAGAGAGAGAGGTCACCCACCAACCCCATCTACTATCCATCTCCTCCATCCTCTTGGACACGGAAGAAGGACATCACCTCAGTCTCAGATATGTGTGTGTGTGTGAGATGGGAAGGGGTGGGAACAGGTCTCGGGCCCTTGAAACATGCTCAGAGGAACTCTTGAGCTACAACGAAATGAAGCCGAAGCCATTTACCGCCATGAAAGGTGGCAGTTGCTGCTACCTTCAGCTGATACGAGAAGGAAGAGGGCTTAATCAGTGGCTCCTGGCCCCAAGCGAAATATCTAAGTCCAGATGAAGCTCTGCCAGGAGAGCCACCAGGATGGCCATTCCCTTCCTGCCGTCATCTGGATTTGATCTTACGACTGCTTGGTCTTCTGACCTTGCAGCCCAGAGGCTTCTGCGGTTTAATCCGCAGCGCGACCACGTCCCCTAATGGCTATACAGATGACATTCATAGGCTATCTTTAGATAATGGCTAAATCCGAATATATATGGTTATATGTCAAAGTTGCAGTGAGGGGGATCTCCGCGTCCACACACACACACACGATATTGGGGAATGGGTGTGCGTCACCTGTGCACGCACGTTCTCCCAGGAGTGCCTCCCGGGGGCCACGGGGACCCTCTTGAGGGATCCACCCAGAACCCACACAGTAGCTCCCTCTATTTCCCAAAGCCTGCCCCCCAAGCCTTCTTGCCCCCTTTTGCCTCTCCCCTGAGGCCAGGACGGGCCGCCCAACCGCCCCTCACTCACCAGGCAGGAGCAATTCATACAGGGGTTCGAGGCAGCCACAAAGACGTCTCCATCGTGGTACCGTTGTCCTTCGTACTCACAACCTGGAGGCAGCAGAGGAAAGTGTCCCATCACAACCGTCAGCCATTCTCCGTCTTGTCCCCCCCTTCCCTCCTTCCCTCCCCAGGCCAGTGAACATCTGTTGCTCTGACTTGACATTTCAAGGTGTGTGGTTCCCGGGGGTGGGGGTTCCCCCCGTTGCTCATGGGTCCCCTCTGCTCAGCAGAGGGTGATGGAGGAAGGAGAGGCAAAGGAAATAAAGCCTCCACATCTCTGGTGCAAGCAACGACCGTCTTAAAATTGAGCAAAGCAGAAGGAAACAGAGTCTCCGGGCGGTGCTGCATCCTCTGGGAAGTGCAAGGCATTTGGGGCCTGGGAGTCTCCCTGCCTATGACGCTCCAGACAAGGTACCTATCGGGAAACGACCAAACCCCAAAAGCTTAGTCCTGCCTAGCCACTGCTTCCTTCTTCACTAAACCCAAGAGAAGCCCTTATTTCTCAGCTGAAAGTAGTTACAGACACTGGAAAGGACTGTTTTTTTTTTTTTAGCTAAAGCCCCCAGCCTTCTGGATAGGTCAAGGATAGCCCAAGAGTGACGTGGTGGGCAGAGGCGTGGCGTTTCTGTGAGCTGCTCAGCAGGGCTTGGATGAACCCAGACTTGACCAGATGGCTGTTTTTTTCCAGGCCGCTCTTTCCTCTTAGCTCTTACCTGGATGGCAAACAGGACAGCACTCCCCGGGTGGCGTGTAACGTTCCCGGCACGAAAGCTCTGGACACTCGGCCACTTGGCATTGCACCGTGCCTGCCTGTTGGAGTTACAGAGAGGAGAAAACGAATCTGACCCGGCCCAAAGGGTCACAACCTGGAGTGTACATCCTGGGAAGGATGCACCTCTACTTGGGTTTGTGCCTACGCTCTTTATCATGAATGGCGTTACAGGCACTGTCCAGTAGGACCTGAGCCAGGGTCAGGACAAAACAAAAGCTAGTGACCGCTGGCACGCATTGCTTTCTGAACGAGAGCAGCTGGAAACTCCCAGTTCCCAGTATGGCAAGCAGCCTTACAGTGACTTAAACATGCCTCAAAGACATCTTTAGATTTATCCTTCCATCTAATAGAATACCTGAGGATGCAGGTGTAGTCTGGTGGCTGGGAGACACAGCGCAAATCAGACTCCGCCTGCTTTGAGTCTTATCTTGGTCTTGCTCTTTCTTGCTGGTGTCGGGAAACGCTGCATTTCCCAGGCACGCACCCCTCCGTCTGTCGTATTAGGATATTGGAGCGCCATCTTTTAAGGTTGTAGACTGAGCAAGGGCCGAGATTGTGTGTTGTACAGAGTTTGGGCCCGGGCTTTGGGACAGCCACGTTCTACCTTCCACGGAGCCACAAAGCCCAACGGTGCACCAGGGACCCTCTAACACCCTGCCTACCTTTTAAGGCTTCTGTGAGAGCACAGCAAGAGGGAGAGCCAAGCCCTTGAATCCGACGGAGAAACGGCGGGATTGATCAGATCTGCCAATTGCCCTTTAACTAATTCTTTCAAAACAGGATGTGAAACACCCTGAAAGCTCTTAATACCTTACAGAAACAACAGATCACGAAATCCTAGCCTCTCGTAGAGTTGGAAGGGGGCTCAAAGGCCATCCAGTCCAACCCCCTGCTCGAGGCAGGAATCCGAATGAAAGCAGGTCTGACGGACAGCGGTCCAGTTTTCTCTCGAAGGCCTCCACGATTGGACTGCTCACCACCTGCCCTTAAGGTCACTGCTTCCGTTGTTGTACTGTTCTAACAGTTAGGAAGTTTCTCCCCCCCCCACCCGAGATTGAACCGAAATCTGGCTTCCTGTCGCTTGAGCCCATGGTTATGTGTCCTGCACTCTGAGATGACGGAGATCAGATCCTGCCCCTCCTGTGTATACAACTGACTGTCTTCCAAGCCTTTGCAAAAGCGCTGTCCTCTCTCCCCTCAGTCTTCTAAACCATCCCCCCCCAGATATGACCTTGTCCCTCTCCACTGATCTATCCACACCGCCCCCCCCGGTTTCCCCCTTGAGCGACTCTCCCACTCCTCTCGGCTTACCTGGCAGACGCAATGGGCGCACGGCCCCTCCCAGTAGCCCTGCCCGTTGCTGAGGAGGCGCCCCTGGTAGAGGCATCCTTCGCACTCGGGGCAGCATTTCCCCTGAGGAACGGCCGGGTGCTGGCACAGAGCAGGGGCACACTCCTCCACCTGGCAGAAGACTTGGCCGTCCTGGGTGGAAGAACGACGCAACTTTCTGGGCGAAGGATGGAGGGGAAGAAGGCGTCCACCCCTCTGCCCGCCGACGGCTCTCTGTGGGGGGGGTCTTGCCCATGGGCCAAAGAAGGGAGACGTTCGCCCCAAAATTTCAGTGCATGTTCTGTCCCCCCTCAATCCCACCACAGGCTGCCAACGCCTCTTGGGTCTACGTGCGGGCTTATTACTCTCACGCTGGAGCCACTGGCCCAGGGGAGCAGGTGGGACTGGCCTGCCTGGGGGGGGGTGGCGGGGTGGCGGCTATGGGGACACCAGCAAGTCCTCACCTGGTGCCGGCACATCCGGCAGGCCTCCGGCGTCCAGCTCTCCCCTTCTTTGTGCCCGTCTGTGCAGCCTAGAAGAAGAGGGGGAAGACAAGGGCTCAGTGCAGTGGAGAGAGCCAGCGCTCCACCTGTTGAATCTCTGCTTGCAAATGATGTTAAAGACACTGGGGATGTATGAGCTGGAGGGTGGGAGCAGCAACCATCCAAAGGCACGTGGCCTGGTGTGCCACCGGGCAGAAGGCTTTGCGGTCGGGGGCGGGAGAGACATGAAATTCGATGGCTACATATGCTTGTGTCTCTCTTTGAGGTGGGGAGGGAGGAGAGGGAGGCGTGATGGGCAGGATGCTGGGGGGGACAAAGGAGTCACAATCTGGGTGTCAAGGATCGCAGGAGGGCACAGGAAGCAGAAGGGAAGCCTTTTGCGCTGCGGAATCCACCAGGAAGATGGGTTTCCTGGACGCCCCACGGAGTCCCTCCCTGCCTTGCAGAGACTGTTTCAAACAGAACGGCTGAAAAACGTTCCTCTGAGGTTTCCTCCTGAGCAGGTTTGCATGAGTCAGGAGGAAGTTGCTTGTGTCCCCAGCCTGTCCTACCTTCCTGTGGGCCCAATCCACCAGGAAGCTCTCTTTCCGCTCTCCTTTGGCACGATGGCCTGAGGAGGTGAAGAGGGAGCACCGGGAAAGCCCCGTGCTGCTGACTCTGACTGGCAGCCGCAGCTCTCCAGCAGGATGGTTCCCCAGTCCTTCCTGCAGATGCTCCAGGAGATTCGATGGGGGTGGGGTGGGGTGGGGGTCTCTATCCGGCAAAGGACACACTAGCCTACTGAGCCATGACCCTAAACTGTGCCTACCCTGCCCCACTCCCCGTCCGCTTGGGCTTACTCACCCAGGCAGTGCGGGCGGTCACGTCGCAACGAACACTCTGCTTTGCCCCGAACGCACCGGCAGGTGGTGCAGAGGCCCTGATCCCAGGAGGCGCCCTCCTCGTAGCGGCGTCCTTCCCAAAAGCAGGTCACCTGCCGACACTCGCACTCCTCCAGGGACTTCACCCGGCCCAGCAGGTCTGAGTTCTGCAAGGAGGCAGCGGGTCAGCTGGGGTTGCGACCGAGGGTTGAGGGGCGGGCAGACCCTCCACCGAGCACAGAAATGTCTTGGTGATGTGCCATCGACTCACCTCTGACTCACGGTGATCTCCAGAATGCCCTGCCCCCCCCCCAAAATTGCTCTATTTAGCTTCTGAAAGCTTAAGCCCATGGTTTCCTAGAGGGAGTCGGCCCATCTCGTGTTTGGACCTCCTCTTTCCCTGCTGCCTTCCACCTTTCCCAGCATTAGGGTCTGGGAAATTTATACAACCTCAGTTTTCTTTGGTCTTTGAAGCCTCCCTGTTTTCACAGGGAATCTACATTGTACAGAGTCAGAGTGGTGTAGCGGGCAGATGGTCTGCCAAGGCACAAGGGCACCTGGGTCCAAGCCTCAGTTTGGCCATGGAGACTTAAGAGGGCACGGCCATGGCAAAGGGCTCCTTCAGCTACTCACCTACCCCAAGAACCAAGATTGAAGTGGGACTGAAGAACCAGGAGGAACTCCAAGTCCTCAGACCCAGTCCAGCGACTCAAGAGGTCTGCAGTAGCATCTGGAAGTCGTCCCCTACCATGCGTTTAAGGAGGGACCTATCCTGACGCTTGTATATCTCCCACGGCTTTCCTAGGAACTTACTTTTGCTAACCTGGCCTTCAATTCATTCCTTTCTGGGAGCTACTTAAGCAGACGCTGGACAGCAACCTGCCCAGGATGAAGGGCAGAGGGTCCCCTAACCTGGGGTCTCCAGATGTTCTTGGACTAAAACTCCCAGAAGAACTTCACCACTTGCTGTGCTGGCCAGGGTTTCGGGGAATTGCAGTCCAAGCACATCTGGGGACCCACAGCTGGTCCTCTTCCTCATTATCTAATAACTGATATGAAGCCTCTTGTAGTATGTTTTATAATCTCTTGGTTTTATTTCATAGAATCATAAAATCATGGAGTTGGAAGGAGCCTCTAAGGTCATATAGTCCAACCCCATGCTTGAGGCAGGAATCCAAATCAAGGTTGATCTGACAGAGGGTGGTCCCATTTTCTCTTGGATCGCTCGCCATCCTATCGTTGACTACTTGTCTTTTATTTTGCTAGAAACTGCCCGGACTGCCTTGTACTAAAGGCACAGTATCTAAATTAGTGAAACCAACCAACCAACCAACCCCCTATCGTCGACAGCTTATCTTTTATTTTGCTAGAAACTGCTCGGAATACTGCCTTGTACTAAAGGCACAGTATCTAAATTAATGAAACCAACCAACCAACCAACCAACCAACCAACCAACCAACCAACCAACCAACCAACCAACCAACCAACCAACCAACCAACCAACCAACCAACCAACCAACCAACCAACCAACCAACCAACCAACCAACCAACCAACCAACCAACCAACCAACCAACCAACCAACCAACCAACCAACCAACCAACCAACCAACCAACCAACCAACCAACCAACCAACCAACCAACCAACCAACCAACCAACCAACCAACCAACCAACCAACCAACCAACCAACCAACCAACCAACCAACCAACCAACCAACCAACCAACCAACCAACCAACCAACCAACCAACCAACCAACCAACCAACCAACCAACCAACCAACCAACCAACCAACCAACCAACCAACCAACCAACCAACCAACCAACCAACCAACCAACCAACCAACCAACCAACCAACCAACCAACCAACCAACCAACCAACCAACCAACCAACCAACCAACCAACCAACCAACCAACCAACCAACCAACCAACCAACCAACCAACCAACCAACCAACCAACCAACCAACCAACCAACCAACCAACCAACCAACCAACCAACCAACCAACCAACCAACCAACCAACCAACCAACCAACCAACCAACCAACCAACCAACCAACCAACCAACCAACCAACCAACCAACCAACCAACCAACCAACCAACCAACCAACCAACCAACCAACCAACCAACCAACCAACCAACCAAAACCAAAACCAAAACCAAAACCAAAACCAAAACCAAAACCAAAACCAACCAACCAACCAACCAACCAACCAACCAACCAACCAACCAACCAACCAACCAACCAGGGTCTGGCAGGATGAATGGTCTGAGCTCCCTGAGATGATCCTCACCTGTTCTTTCACCATGTCCAGCATGGTTCCGAGTCCATCCACCAGCTCCTCCAGCCTCCGGATCCTCTCTTCCTGGCTAATGGCCCCGGACCGTCCTGCAGCCGCCGGAGATGGGAAGTCTGCTTCGCTGGGCTCCCGCTGGTAGTGGCGAATGTCTGTCAGGGCTGGAGGCTCAAGGGGCGGTAGGGAGTTCAGCTCAGGCAGATGCCCTCCAGGTAGATTCATGTAGCGCTCCTCAGGCATGGTATAGGACAGAGCAAGCAGGTCAGGGTCTATGGGTTGAGCAGGAGAGCAAGATCAGAGCTCAGCACAATTCTCTTGTGGACGACACCTTCCAGAATCCCTAGCCAGATGGCTACCGCTCATGTTAGCTGGGGGATTTTGGGAGTTGTAGTCCAAAAAAAGAGAGAGGAATCTTTCAAAGAACTTTCTTAGGTTGTTGGAAGACAGGGGCAACTGAGGAATCAAAATAAATGGGTCAACTCTATTTCGTAGACCAGTCCGTGGGGAAGCCTGCAGTTAGGTTCTGTGGCGGCTTATTCCCCAGAGATGGCCAACTCTGCACCATATTGGCTCGAACCAACAGCCGGACGGAGATATTTTAGTGGCGTCCGAGGTAGAAAATAGAGAGAGACCTTTAGTTGGACAGCCAAAGACGGAGCAAAATCCCACGGGAAAAATGTCCAGTTCAAGCTGCACGAAAAGGAGCAGGAAGGGAGAAAGGATGTGGGGCATTTGGCCTCTGCCCCTCGGGCGCCTTTCTCAGTAATACAGAAATCCATTCCCGGAGGAGTCCACTTCCCAGAGAAACCCTCCAAAATAAAGCGTCTGCCTTAGGACTCCTTCAGCGCATAGGCAGAAATCATGTGGTCACCCGGCCCCCAGCCCATCTCAGCCTCCTCCAGACTGCCCTCCCAGTTCGGGGCCAGGTGTGTGGGGTTTGTGTGGAGGAGAATGATCACTTGGGGCGGGGAGCCTTTTGGGCTGCCAATTTTGCAGAAACCATATGCTTGCCTCTCTTTCTCTCCTTTCGTTTTGCCAACGGTTCCTGTCCCTTGTTTTACCCTTCAAGGAAGTTTAACAAACACCGCACAAGACTTCTCATCATCCCTTTCAGGTCCCCCAGCAGGCGAGGGTGATTCCCCTCCCCCCAGGGGGTCTGAAAATCTGCCGGCCCATCTGGGAGAGGTTCTTCCATAAAAGTTTTCCACCTGGTAGCTTAGAATCTGCGTCGATCTGGTTTACCCTTTTTTGTGTGGCATTTCTCTGATGCTTTTAAATATTTGCATACTTGCTGTTTTTAGCTTTTAAATAGGGTCTTCTAACGACATAAGCCGCCTGGCGTCCTTTCAAAGGAGAAAGGCAAAATGACAATATTTACAAGCAACACACTGAAGTGTTGTTTCCATAACACAAACGCATATACACACACACACACACACCATGCCTCCACCAACATAATGCAAGCCAGGGGCCTGGGGTGGGTAGGATGTTTTCAATTCTTCTGAGAATCAGCATGCAAAAGCAAAATTGGGCTCAGGACTCAGAATCTGGAGAAACTAAACTTCAGAGATGTCGACTTCTTGTCTTCATTAGAGATGGGAACAAAATTTTTAAATGGTGATTCGTTTTGATCCGTTATTCTGCCTCCACCAACATAATGCAAGCCAGGGGCCTGGGGTGGGTAGGATGTTTTCAATTCTTCTGAGAATCAGCATGCAAAAGCAAAATTGGGCTCAGGACTCAGAATCTGGAGAAACTAAACTTCAGAGATGTCGACTTCTTGTCTTCATTAGAGATGGGAACAAAATTTTTAAATGGTGATTCGTTTTGATCCGTTATTCATCAAGGTTACCAGAATCCGGAGAAGCTAAACTTCAGAGATGTCAGCTTCTTGTCTTCATTAGAGATGGGGGGGGGATGGTGATTTGTTTTGATCCATTCGTCTGCACTTTAAACAGCCATAACACTGGCCCCCTGATGCTCTTTGACAAATTGACAAATCGATCCGTTGATTTGTCTGAACTTTAAACGGCTATAACACTGGCCCCGATGATCTAGAGACACCGAATTTGCAGGGAAGCTTCATCAGACACTTTTCTACAACCCCTGAAAGTTTGGTGAACATTGTTCACGGATCCCCAAGTTATATAGTCACAAAGAGGACATCCCCAGGAAAGCTCCCCCCATGTAATTAGGAGTCTCCAGAATCACATCAGAGCTTCCTATGTCTTTTTCAACACGCCTGCCAACTTTGGTGAAGATTGGATATCGGACATCCGCGTTATTCACCCACAAATTGGGTCCCCTCAGGAGAGTTTACCACATGGCACAAAATGGTGTTTTTTTCCTTTTTAATGAAGGATGAATAAAAATGGGTAAATATGTCCCCCCAGGAGAGTTTACAAAATGGTGTTTTTTCTTTTTAATGAAGGATGAATAAAAACCGGTCAATATTCATCCCTTTGTATTCGTGGGGGTCTCTGAAACCCACAAACACAGATCAATGAATATTTAACGAATCGGCTATATTCATCAGAAAAACCGATCCGTTTTTATATTCGTCCCCATCTCTAGTCTTCATCCCTTGAAAGATTTTTGTACGTGTTTGCCTAGAGAGTCTGAAAAAGGACGAATCTAGGCAGTGTAAGGTGACTAACCGTATGGTACTGAATAAAATACAAGTGTATATATGTGATGTATGGTACGTAATGTGTGTTGTACCTTCAGCAGATATTTGAATTTCTTTATATTTAATACAGACAACAGCCTACATTACTGTGATTTCATGCTACTTGTTGATTCTGGTTTGTTTGTTTGTTTGCAAAGAAATGGCTATAATGGCTTGTTTTAGTCTTGTTATTGATGATTTCAATTTTATTTCCTTTTTGGACTGTAAACCACCCAGAGTAGATTCGTCTAGATGGGCGGTATAAAATCCAATCAATCAATTAATGCATACAAAGCATTTCTGCTTTGGTGTGCTTTTAGTATGGCTTTCGCTTACCCTTCCTCAAGAGTAGTGTTTGCTTCTTCTTTTTATATATGAGTATACATTGTTTTCAGATTCACACGTTGTCTTTTAAGGAGGTAAGCCGTCTTTCTCTACTCCCTTGTTTTTGGCTTTAACGATTGCCCTTTAATAACGTAAGCTGCCATGGGTCCTTTGGAGGGGGGGAAAGTTGGGGTAAAAATATTGTAAATGAACGAACCAACGAACGAACGAATGAACGAATAAAAATGTTGGGGTAAAAATACTGTAAATGAACGAACCAACGAACGAACAAATGAACAAATAAATAAATAAATTTATTTCCAGGCATCACAGATGGGATTCTGGGACGCTCCGAGGGCATGGGCCCCATTCCCATGCTTATGCATTCAAGCAAAGCGGGGGGGGGGGACAAAAGAAAAGGCGGGGTTCATTAGGGAAGCGCAATTAACCAGCCCGCTTTACCGCGCGGGCTGCTTGGCTTGTTTGTTTGCTTTTCATTGAAAAGCCAAGGGCGCTCTGGAGCTGATCCAGAGCAGCCAGCCGTCCCGGGGTTTGGGGTTAAAGCACCAGACCACGCTTTCATGGCTGCGTGCCCCAGATGGGGGCAGTGAAGTGGACGGACAGCAGCAGGGCTGGCACACAGAACCGCTCTGTCTGGATAATGAAGTGGCCGGCTTGGCTACCAGGACTCCTGGCTCCCCCACCTCTGTCTGGAATTCCCCCCCCCACTCCACCGGCTGACCTCGATCCCGCGGGTCAGAACCATCTGGCTGGCCAGCAACTGTCCCAGCCAAGGGGGTCACTGGTTAGGGGAGCAAAAGATTACCCTTCTGGTTTGGCACCGAGGGGTCCCCGAGGCCAGGAGGCCAAGCAAACCCCCCTCCCTGCTTTGACCTTTTCAGAGGGCTAAAGGCAAGAGGCTGCCAATTCGCTCAAAGGTCAAGTAGAGGCCAACAAACTTATTAGCCTGGGACAAAACTGGACACCACATAAGGGGGGGGGAGACACATTAGGGCCAGCGGGAATTGGGACCCGCAGGGGAAGCCAAGACATCAGCATGGAGGCCAGGACCGTGGGGTCACAGGGGCACCGTACAGCACAAAGCGGTCAAAACACCAACCTTCCATCTTTTAAAAAAACCTGTTATTTTAACTATTTAACTCTATTTTCACTTCATTCCCTCTTCTCCCCAAAGTTTCACCCCAAATGACGAGGGGTTTTTAGTGCAGTTTTCACATCTCAAGACCTCTTTGAGAAGAATTCACACGCTTTCGTTCATAAAAAAACTTGCATTTTAGAAGAAACGGCCTCTGTCCTATGCAGAACACAAGAGTCTTGTGGAAAATGCAGGGAAGGGCATTTATTTTTGGTGGGTTTCTCCCCCTAAAACCATGTGTCCCCCCCCCAATATTGCCACTGCTGGCCAAAATAAAGATAAAATTAAATTAAAATAAAACACAGGATCTGGTCTCTCCTCTCTCTTGCAAGAGGAAAACCTCTCTCCCTTTTTCTACAGAGCAACCCCAAATGGCCCTTTTAAAAGACAACAACGCTGGACGGCAGCCACGCAGACTGGGGTTTTTTCCCATGCATTCCGATCTGACAATACAGTATTTCTGAGTGCTTATCTTTTTATCTGTTGTAGCTGCTTGATAAGGCAGGCTCTGTGCCCGAGACCTAGAGAGCACAAATCCAGCAAGAGAAAAGGGCCCTGCTTGATTATCAAATCCGAACGGCAGCACAATTTGTCGATTTATTATTTACTTTATTCATCACATTTATAATCCCGCCCCCTCTAAGTGCCGGAGCGCTCTTTGGGGTGGCTGACGACAGTGAAAATGCTACAACCCGATGCCACCCAAGACAGAAATTAAAGATAACCAAGAAACGTAAAAAACTCAGGGTACCCCCTGCAAAAAAAGAAGGGAACTTGGAGAATAAATCGAAATCAAGATTGTTTCATGATTTCCTCGAGGGTCGAACAAAACGCTCCACCATTCCTATGACAGCAGAACGGTTTGGGGAGTACAAAGGGCATGCATGCAAACACCCAGGGCAACCTAGGATCTGGAGAGGGGCCTTGGTTGAAGACGGAATAATCTTTTTTTTTTTAAAATCCCTGAGGCCATCTCAGCCGGGAACGTTCTGTGCCCGGGGACGTCAACCTCGGGTCACCCAAAGGTGTTCACGGACTGCAGGTCCCAGAAGCCTCTGCCCCCAGCTATGCTGGCCAGGGTTTCTGGGAGTTGTAGTCCAAGAACACCTGGGTTGCCCAAGGATGGGAGCCTGTGCTCCAGAGCAGAAACTCCCATTCACTTCTAAAGTGCAAATTTTGAGTGTTGTGGGTGATTTTATAACCGCAGAGAAATCACGGCAGGTTGGCCAGGATCTCGCACAACACAACCATGACTCCATCAAGGCAAGCCTTCATTAGGTGACAATGAAGGGTTTTTTCCTATCTTGAACCCTTTAGGAACTGACCTGTCTCTTTGCCTAGCACAGGATTTGTCCCGCCTGACCAGCAGAGGGTCTGGGTTTCTCTGACAGGTACGGCTCTTTCCCCTCACTTGGTACCTGGTACCTGATTCTTTCAAGCCGTGATGCCTCGAACGGGACATGAAGAAAGGACACAGCTCAGAGGTATAAATGAAACCCTAAAGCTGTTTCGCATCACCAAGCCTTCACTGCTCCCCCTTCTCCTGGCACAGAGGTTCAACTGCAGTTGTTGTTGTTGTTTAGTCGTGTCCGACTCTTCGTGACCCCATGGACCGGCTGGGCCCTCCTGTCTTCCATGGCCTCTACTGCAGCCCAAACTCTGCTTCAAGCCCAGGTGGCCGGCTTGAGGTTCGCTCGGCCTTCCAGCCTTCCGAAGTCGGTAAATTGAGTACCCAGCCCTTTTGGGGTGATGGTGGCGGCAGCGTGTTGCCTGCATAATTAAATTGTAAACCACCCAGAGTCTGCTTTAAGTGCTATGGGCGGTATATAAGCAGCACACTTTGGTTTTTCCAAAAACCTAAGGAAAATCATCCAAGAGGTATGGTTCTCCTTGAAAATAAGACATGTATCCTCTGATTTAGAAAGTCTAGGGTTGTTGTTTTTAACACCCTCATCCACCACAGGCCCATGTTTGAACTTCTGCACACAAAGCAACCTCTCCTCTTCACCTTAGCAATGTTTGAGGGTTGGGATTTCTTGTGTCTTAATAAAACGGGGTCTCTGCTCAGCCCCCGGCTGCTCATTTTGCAGATTTGATGAACACGATGGAGGGCCGGTCAGTCTTCGACCAGTTCGTCCATCACAACGAGATCTTGGCCCAACCACCCCCTTTTTTTCTGGTTCTTTCCCCCTCGTCTCCTTTCACGGGGCACCTGGTCTTGGCAAGTGGTCTCAAAAACATTGAAGACTCAAGTTAATCTCCTTGATTAACCATGCCCTCTTGCGTGTAATCCCATTAGAGTTCATAATCAAGGCCTGCTGTCAGAATTTAGATCTTGCCCAGGACCAGCTTCTTTTGGCGGAGTTATTTTAAAAGTTATTTTTAAAAAGGAAAAAAAAAACACCCAGCAACCACGGGGCTTTGATTTGCAGCCATGTCCCATTTTTAATTTTAAAAGGCAGGAGGGGCGGCTGTGTGACCCTGGAGGGTCCAGGGCAGGAAATTATTCCCTGTAACCGAGAACTGTTTCAGACGACACTGGAAAACCTACTCCAAAATGTGATTAGATGTTGGAGGTCCCCAAGGGTTTGGTGGGAGGGGCGGGAGGAAATGGAGGCTCCCCGGATTTGAGACCTCTGATGCAAAACGGATTGTCCGCGGATTCCCTAGTTCATGGTTTCCCCTTTTAGGCTCCGAGGCAGGCAACGAATGCTAAGCATGTTGGATAAAAAGGAAAGCTGGAGCATTCCCCAAGAGGAGAGGCTCGGGAAGCAGGAGATAGGAAATGTGGAGGAAGAAGGGTGGACGGGTGGGTGTCTGATCTCCCAGCCGGATCTGGTGTGGAACGGAAGCCTCAAGAAAGAACCCACACAGTCCATTACCAAGAATGGAACTGACCCATTGGGAAATTCAAGGAGTGTGCAAAACTCCAACGGCGCTGGAAATCTGAAACCGGGTTCCGACTTTCCTCCAAGGAATGGTTGGGTTGAGACAAGGCACCACAACCCCTTGCAGGAGGGTCCCCTTCCAGCTCTGCAGTTCTAAGATCATTATCGTTAGCAGCAGCAGCAGCAACGTTCGGGAATAAGTGAAAGAAGCACCCGGAACGTCACGGACGGAAATGTCTCCAGCGCCTCATCGGGCTGGCTGAGGATCAGGCAGAAGGGTTAACGTTCCCCCTCCCCGTCTCCTCTCCGGGTCCCGACAGCCAGCTGGTCTCCCTCTTGTCAACTGCTTCGCTCCGCCCTTCCAAAGCGCAGGGATCTTACCCGCCCACGACAAGGAACATCTGGCCCAGCTGTGCTGGCTCTTTGCACGGATCTGAAAGCTGTCAAAGGGGGGGGGGGAGAGGGAGAAACGCTCCCAAAGTCAAGGGCCTGCTTTGATCCCTACAGTCTTCTCCAGCTTCATCGAACCTTAACCCTCTTTCAAACGACCTTCGACTAAAGGTGACCCCATGTTCTTGCTGACCGCTATCTCCCCCCCCAATGGAGGCTCAGGCACACGGACCCTCTCCGGGGGCCACCCGCTGTTCCTTCTCGCCTGGCTCTTACCTGGCAGGTTGTCACAGTGCCAGGGGCGGTGTGGGAAACCGGTGGGTGAAATCTCTGCCGTCTGCCAGTAGCCCTGCAGGAAAACAGGACGGGTCTCTCAGAAGGCCAGAAGGGACGGCAGGGCAAGGTTGGTAGAATTTAGCCTTCACACATCTCCAGCCACAAGCCGTTTCGTCCCGTTTTAACTGGCGAGGCTCCACCCTGCAAAACGCTGGGGCCTGCAGTTTGGCGAGGGACTCTGCAGTCTGCGTTTTAGCTCAGGAGAACATACAAAAATTCAGTATTGTAGGCATCTGAGTTCCTCGCCAACAATTCTGTCCACTGGAACAGAGATGAACAGCAGGACCCCTTTATCCCTGGGATCAGTATCCACTGATTCACTTATCCACAGTCTGAAAATATTAAAAATGTTACATCCCATAAATATTATGCCCCATAAATATTTACAATAGGATGCTTATACCTGCGGGATCAGTATCCTGAAAATATATATTTTTTAATCCTGGAAAGAAAACATTTTTCACATGTACTACCAGAACTGGCCACTAGAGGGCACCAGAGACAGTGCTATGAATTCTTGCTGAAGAATACATAGTATGGTGTCTGGCATCCTCTAGTGGTCAGCAGAGACAGTGGTATGAATTCTTGTTGAAGAATACAAAGTATGGTGTCTGGCATCCTCTAGTGGTCACTTCTGGTAATGCATGTGAAAATTATTTTTTTCTGGATTATTTTTCTTTTACCATGCTATATATTGCAGAGGGGCGTGTCGTGCTTGTGGGTGGGCGTGTCACGCCCCTCCACAAAGTGCGACACGCCCACCGTGCGTGCATGGGGATGGGCGGAGATCCGTGTCCATGGCCCAGTTCAAGGAAGCCCATGGTCCGGCACGGGGCTGCGGACCGGGGGTCGGGGACCCCTGGCTTATAGGACAGAGGTACATTTCTGGGACTTGTCACCCAGAAAAGTAACTTTTTCAAGCTTTCCTACATACTCACTTCTCCCCACCATGAACAAATGCAAAACAGGATTGGAAGCCTCCAGCTTGTCTTGGTGAATACTTATCAAGTATCCTCTTGAGCACAGATCATACCCAGTTGTATTTCGTGCCCGAGCTGCATAACATGGCATTGCTTTCTTCCCCATATTGATGTGTCATGTTATAGGTCTCTCAGACCCTCAAGGCAGCCTGACTCGCCATCAAACCCAAAACACACATTATGCATCATTTCAAAACCTGGGGAAGGAAGGACAGGTGGAGGTCGGAAGTTCTGGACTCAGAAAGAAGGTAGTCGTGAGTCTGGACCAAAGGAAGGTCCCCCCCCAGCACCTTCTTTCCAGGCGGATCAGTCAAAGGCCCCTGAGCATGGAAGAGGAAGGAAGGATCTCCCCCCTCTTGGTATCGCTGTTACGCCCAGATCTTGAATATCCGCTCCCCTGAATCCTGTCCTCATTTAATAAGGCAGTTTCCATTTAGCCGCCGCAAGACCAACAGAAGGCCAAGCCAGAACTTTGGAAAGCTACATTTTGGGACTATCACTCTCAGCATCCTTGGGTCAGCAGAGCCACATGGACTGGGGGGGATCATGGGGACTGTAGTCCAGAAATGTCGCTTCCAGCCTCAGCTGACTTCTGTGCAACCCTCGGCATTCCCTCAGTCTTTGGCCTTCCAGAGGTTTCAGAGGCTCATTTCCAGGAACCCTTCACCGCTGGCTGTGCAGGATGAGGCCCTGAAAAGGGGCTCTGAGCATCTGGAGGACCGAAGACGGAGGACGAACCGGTCCAAAATGGCCACCAAAGCGCACGTTGCTGAGACGGCGGCAGACGGCTGCGGGCGATGGAGGCGTTGCGGAGGGACCGCGGTTCTGTCTTACCAGGAACTTGCTGCTCTTGTCTCCGAGCAGGCTGCCGAAGGTGATCTGCAGGTCCAGGGGCAGGATGAGGCTCAGGACGTCCTCCCCGGCCCCCTTCTCGAAGACCACCGGCTCCTGGCAGTTCACGAAGAGGGAGATCCGTTGGGGCTCCAGGTTGAGGGCGACCCGGGCCCACCGGCCGTGGGAGAAGGGGTTGCCTCCTGGAAAGACCAAGCGGGCCGGCTCCATGTTGTGGACGGCGCGGTAGTCCAGCCGCAGCTGGTCCGCCCGGGTGCTGGAGACCAGCTGCAAGAGCGGCCGCCCGTCCCGCTGGGTGGCGGCCGGCGACGCCAGGGAGATGAGGGTGCCCTCGGACGCCCGGCTCTGTCGGGCCACAAAGTGGAAGCCCAGAGCCCCTTGCAGCGTGGACAGCAGGTAGACGGAGTAGTCCCACGGGAGGGTGAGGTGCGGCACCCGCTGGCGGAACTTCCAGGCGGGCACTCCCGGGTCGGGGCCCTTGGCCTTGGTAATGCCCAGGACGGAGCGTGTGATGTTGAGCGCCTCCAGCAGGTCCAGAACTGCAAGGCAAGAGCAGAGAGGTCAGGTGCGACGCTCCCACGAGACATGCGCCCCGTGGAAAGTTCTAGAACAGGGGTGGGAGGGGAGGATGGTCAGGGGGTGGCCTTGGGAGAGCCGTGCGTGGGCATCCCTAAGGATGATCATCTTTGGGTCTCGGTGTTTAGCCTTTGACTTGCGTTACACTGAAAGAAAACGACAGGCACTCAGAAAATTGCCTTGTCGTTTATTTCCTGTTTAACTCCAATTAATAATTATCCGTGTGCGTGTGTGAAGATGTATATTGCTGGCAGGGAGAAAAGGGCATGTTTATGTGATTTAAATTGGCCACAGCCAGATTCTGAATGCCTCAGGGGGGTTCTGTTGGCTGGAAGCCCTTCTTTGCCCAGTAGAGAGTTACACTGTGGAACTCCCAGCCACATGATGAAGCCGTGGCTGCTAACCGGAGTGACTTTGGAAGGCCAATTCTGAGAGGTTTGTTTTAATCAATGGCTAGTGGTCAGGATGGCTATGTGCCACCTGCCATACTGGAGGCAGGATACCTCTTTCTGCTTATCAGTTGCTGAAGCCTGGGAGGCAGAAGGTGCTTTTCCTGCCCTGATGGCGGGCATCAGAAAGCCAACTAAATGACCACTGGGTGAACAAAATGGCGGGACAGCTGAGTTTATTTTCATTGATTGATTGATTGATTGGTGTTCTATCCCGCCCATCTAGACCAAAGGTCTCCTCTTTGGTCTCCTCCAGCAACACACTTCCGATCACCTACTAAATCAAGGCTTACGAAGCTTCACAATTGGACACAAGGCCGTCGGTTAGAATGTCTTCTCTCGTTTAGGTTGGGTGGAGACGCCTTGCCTCCCGCCATCTTGGAAGTGCTTGCTTTTGCCAAAAGTGGGGAGTCCAAGCCCAGAGAAAGAGAGATACAGGACACGACAGCCGCAGAAGAAAGTAGGGTCCAAGCCTTCGGAAGTCCAAACTCAATCCTGGCACCTTCTTTTCAAGCACCCGAGGCAGCCAGAATGCGGCAGACGTCTTCCTGACGGGCAGATAAGCTTCACGGAGCGGCTCTACCATTGAGACAGTTTGGGGTCTTCTTTCCTTCCACACCCAAGATGTCCCGCTTCAATTCCCAGCGTTTTGGGTCAGTAGGGCAATCCCCCCCCCCAAAAAACCCCATTGAACTCAAGCTGTCCTACGTGGGGCACAACACGAGAAAAGGCAAGATGCTCTGGAAAAAGACCGTAACGCTGGGAAAGGTCGAAGGCAGCAGGAAGAGACTGGAGGCAGGATACCTCTTTCTGCTTATCAGTTGCTGAAGCCTGGGAGGCAGAAGGTGCTTTTCCTGCCCTGATGGCGGGCATCAGAAAGCCAACTAAATGACCACTGGGTGAACAAAATGGCGGGACAGCTGAGTTTATTTTCATTGATTGATTGATTGATTGGTGTTCTATCCCGCCCATCTAGACCAAAGGTCTCCTCTTTGGTCTATAAAGAGAATCAATAAAGGAAGCCATGGGCTTCCGTTTGCAAGCGCTCAGCAGGGCTGTGGAGGACCAGACCTTTCGGGGGCCACTCATTCACAGGGTTGCGGTGAGCAGGAGGTGACGAGACCACACACACCACCACAACGACAACAGCTAGACAACCCCGACCTTCATCAATAGAAACGTGTCTCTTCGGCCTCCTCCTGGTCACCCAGGACAGACATCAAGCCTCTGACAAGCCAAAGTTTAAATCCGCAATCGCTGTCACGAGATCCTTTACTCTTTGTTTCCCTTCTATGTATGGGAGGCTGGGTGCTGTCCTGGATATTTTGAATTTGGAAATAGCAAGCCCAAGCCATTGTGTTGCACCACATTCAAACCAATAATCTGACCAAAAAAAGAGGTTCTTCTTCCTCCCCTCCCTCTCCCCAATTTTCTTAACTGAGAATGATCAGCTGTAACAATCTGTCCTTCCTGTTTTTCCAGACGTGAACAAACGATTCTAGCATTTTGCATTTGACATGTTTTGGAGGTTTTTTTTTCCATCTCTTTATCCGCCTGCCTTCGAGCTGGACCCACTGGTCTTCCTCGTGAGCCAGGGGATCTTTAGCATCCTGTGATAACCCTGCATCTCCCAAGCCCCCCTCCCTTTCCCCCCATTTCTTTTGTGCTGTGATATTTATCCACAGTACTCAAAAACACAACCTTATTAAAACAGCAAGAGAAAGAACAAGGCTTTCGAGGCGCCCCGCCGAGTTTGGCAAGGTAAACGTTGGCTAATAGCCCCCCCAAGACCCGCCTGGCTGCCCGCCTGGTTTCTTCTTGCAGCTGCTGAAAAAATGAGGACAGAGCGAACTTTGAAGTTCTTGCAGATTTAAAGATTAAATGGGCTCAGCTCTGTCCGCGGCATCTCCAGGAAAAGGGCACAGGTAATTCTTTATGACTTGCTTTTTAAAATTTCATCCCAGTCTTCAGCTTGTCCAATCGCCAAAGTTCTCTATGCGTATACAAGGCAATTTAAGGAAAGGGGGGCAGTGGAAGATGGGAGGGCCTGGCATGCTGTGGCCCATGGGGTCTCGAAGAGTCGGACATGACTTAATGGCTAAACAACAAACAGTGGCATAAAACAGCATGGAAAATCAGCGCAAGGTGACTGGATTACCCAACGAGTCTTCTAGCAGACCTTGTCCCCCATCATCCCATGAGCAAACCCCCTAACTTGGGGGGCCAAGGCGGTGTGGTGGACAGAGCCAACGGAAGGCAACTGCCATTCAGGGGGGAACCATCAAGAGGTCACTGCTCAAAACCCCCAGAATCCACCTCCCGAAGCAAGTGGAGCGCTTGGCCTAATTTGGACGGCTGGTCTTGATTGAGCACCTCCTGGAGGGAAGGCACATTGCTGTGCGAGCAGATTTCACTCCCACTAGTGGCACATGAGTCGGCCACCCTCATGGGCCACCCTTGGGTGTGCACAGGGATCTGATGCACATCTCCTCGCGGTTAAGGAGCTCTCAGCAGCCTCCATGGCCAGGGCACATGGCAGCAGGCGGTACGGGGGGGGGACAACCCTGTTTGAATCCTGCCAGCATACGGCAGCTTCCCCCATTCCGAAGACGTCCCCTTCCCTCCAGGCTGGACTGTGAATCGATCACAGAATCACAGGATCTCAGAATGGTGGCGCTGGAAGGGGCCTCGAAGGCCATCAAGCCCAAAGGATATCAGACAGGCGGCTATCCAAGCTTCTCTCGAAGGTCTCCAGGGTTGGAGCCCTCGCCACCTCCCCTCGAGGTCATGGGTCCTGTTGTTGTACTGCTCTAATAGTTAGGAGGTTTTTCCTGCTCTTCAGCCGAAATCTGGCTTCCTGTTGCTTGAACCCATGATTACACGTCCTGCCTTCTGGGACGATGGAGAACAGGTCCTGCCCTTCCTCTGTAGGGCTACCTTTCAAGGATTTGAAAAGTGCGATCCTCTCTCTCCTCGTTTTTCAAGGCTAAACATACCCAGCTCTTTCCCCCATAGGTCTCGGTTTCCAGTCCCCTGATCGCCCTTGTTGCCTTCCTCTGAACTTGCTCTGGCTTGTTGGCCTCCTTCTCAAAGGGTGGGGTTGAGAACGGGCCACAGGACTCGAAAGGAGGCTTAACCGGTGCCGAAAAGCAGGCGATTCCATCTCCATTTCCCATGTTCTTCTTCTCCATCCTGCGTTTCTTCCCGTGAGCCCAGAGCAGCATCCGCTGATCTCCTCTCCCGTGTTCATCCACACAACCACCCTGTGGTGTCTATCAAGTGAGAGAGAGCGAGTGGCCCAAAGTCATTCCGGGAGTTTGATGGGAGCCCCCCCCCCCAAAAAAAACTACAGACCTCCTTGAACCGCCCCACAACATACCCCCGACTCCACCTTTTCCGTGTTACTGGCTCAGGATTTGACTGTACGTGTATCAGAGAATCCAAACATCTATGAAGTGCTGGAGAGCTGAGTGGTTAAGGTCTCTGGCTGCAGAGATAGAGGTTTGGAGTTCAATTCCCCCCCCCGTGCGATCCTCTCTCTCCTCGTTTTTCAAGGCTAAACATACCCAGCTCTTTCCCCCATAGGTCTCGGTTTCCAGTCCCCTGATCGCCCTTGTTGCCTTCCTCTGAACTTGCTCTGGCTTGTTGGCCTCCTTCTCAAAGGGTGGGGTTGAGAACGGGCCACAGGACTCGAAAGGAGGCTTAACCGGTGCCGAAAAGCAGGCGATTCCATCTCCATTTCCCATGTTCTTCTTCTCCATCCTGCGTTTCTTCCCGTGAGCCCAGAGCAGCATCCGCTGATCTCCTCTCCCGTGTTCATCCACACAACCACCCTGTGGTGTCTATCAAGTGAGAGAGAGCGAGTGGCCCAAAGTCATTCCGGGAGTTTGATGGGAGCCCCCCCCCCCAAAAAAAACTACAGACCTCCTTGAACCGCCCCACAACATACCCTGACTCCACCTTTTCTGTGTTACTGGCTCAAGATTTGACTGTACGTGTATCAGAGAATCCAAACGTCTATGAATTGCTGGAGAGCTGAGCGGTTAAGGTTTCTGGCTGCAGAGACAGAGGTTGGGAGTTCAATTCCCCCCCCCACTGGGCCTCCTTGACAGGGATGATCCACAGGGTCCCTTCCCGCTCTGCAGTTATACATAATAATATGTATTTAAGTATTAAAGTGGAATTTCACCTGTCAAATATTTTGCATGTTTCTGTTTCTTTGGTTCCATCACAAATAGAACACCGCCTGAGGTTTAATCTTGGAGAGTCATAGAATCATGGAGCTAGAAGGGGCCTGTAAGGCCATCCAGTCCACCCCCCTGCTCAGTGCAGGAATCCACATCAATTCCGCGCACACAGGGAATTAAGGCAAACCCTTTTTCTTCTCCAGCTTCGCTCCTCTGCCTGCAAGCTTCCCTCCGTGCCACAGCTCTGGGTCATGCAAATCTTCATTTCTGCTGGTCACCGACTTGTTTACGGCTCAGAAGACGTGCCAGGAACAGGGGGTAGCGTGGAGAGAAAAAGGGAACAGCCTATTAGAAATTTAGGGATTCCTGTGCTTGTGTGATTGAAATGTGGTGCCGCCGGAAGAGAGCTGTGGACTGCCAGAAAGACGAGATCGAATCATGTTCAAACTCTCTCCGGAGGCAAAACTATTGAAGCCGAGACTGCCCTACTTTGGGCCCGTCGTGAGAAGGCAAGATTCCCTGGAAAAGACCATCCTGCCGGGAACGGTGGACGGCCGCAGGGAAGGAGGAAGAACAAATACGAGATGAACCGGCTCCTTCAAGGAACCCCCAGGGCTTGAGTCTGCAAGAGCTCAGCAGGACTGGTGCAGACAGGACCTTCCGGAGACGGTTCACTCATAGGGTTGGGCTGCCCTCAGTCCGAGGCGACGTGATGGCCCAGAACCACCTCCACAACAAGAGCAGTCCTTGACACGGAGCGGGGGGAGGGCCTGCAGGCAGACCCCTGAAAAGCCAGGTCTGTGAGCCCCCCCTCCTCATTTCGATTGGCAGAAACATGGTTTGCAGAGACCCCCCCCTTCCCTTTCCCCTCCCTTCCTCAGCCCATGCTCCAGCGGAGGGAGGTGGCCTGTACAGCACCCCACGATTTCGTGGGAAGGGGGGGGACAGGGACGGGAAAGAAGGAGTGACGTTTCCAGAGGGGTCGGGAAGGAACCCATTGTCTCTGGAATGGGAAACGCTGCCTCCTTGAGCCATTGCAGGCGCCCCCCCTCCCACCGGAGCATCCCCTCCCCTCC